AAAACACCTGGGGGATGTGAGCAGCTCACACAGCTCCTCCTCACGGACTCTCTAATTCGCTTCGGAGTAAAATGGGAAGGAAAAAGTAAACACATCTCCGCCCCAAAATATGAATATGAATACTGTTGTTTTTGTATGTAAAATGCTTCTGGTTTGCTGAAAGCTGGTCTAGAGACGATAAACCGCATCACAAACCTGGAGTCCATACTTCTCGTTTTCTGAAAGCTGGTCTGTCTACCTGTAAACCGCATCACAAGCCTGAAGTCCGGAGTACTCTGTAAAACTAAGTATACGTGTTTTATTTCCTACCAGTAAACTCAGATAATTGTTATAACTTTTGATTCCGGTGTTTTCAATTCCTTTCTTTATTAAATAGAGATCAGCCTCATTCAACGAACGGCGCGCAGCAGAGGGGGGGCTCTCAGCCACCCAGATAGGTGTTCTGCTCCAACAACATCTAAACTTTTATTATCTGATGTTGTGATACGAAAGAAAGTGGTAAGGCAGTCCATTTGATTCCCTTTTTACTGATCTACATTGTTCTTGCAAGGGAATGCTGATACATGTTATGTCTTGAAAAATAAAAAGACTTTTCTGTGCTGTGATTGAAAGTCAGAATACCTTCAGTGCTGTGCATTTACTTTTAAGTGCCCTGTTATGCTAATTTCCAGGTTCATATTTGTATTTTGTGCCTCTACTGTGACATGTTTCCATGCTTTAATGTTCAAAAAGCTCTTTATTTTTCTCATACTGGGGATTGTTTGGTAGAGCAACTCCCTTGGAAACTTTGGGATTTTAGCCTTTGCAGACCATTTACATGCACAAAACCTATATAACACACTACAGGAAAGGAAAACCACAAAAAGCTAGGACCCCTTTAAGTATAGTACTTGAGTAAATGTACTAAGTTACTTTCCAATATTGGTAAGCTTAAGAATATAGTATAGTATAGAATAGTATTTAGAGGTACAGGGGCAAAAAGGTTCCCTACCAGCAGCGATGGCCCCCACCAGGGGCAGGAGGGTGAGGGCCCAGGGGTAGTTCCAGGCCCCGATGATGAGCACCACCCCCAGAGGCTCCGGCTGCACGTAAACCTCATCTGATATGGTGAGGAGGTTCCTCTCCACCGACCGAGGAGCCGCCCACTCTGCCAGCTTCCCTATAGCCAGCTTGATCTCATTCTCAATGCCAATCAGCTCCAAGAGTGGTGTGTCATACTGGCTCTGTAGAAAACCCAACACACACACACATTAACATTGTAACATGTTACATGTAGGAGTGTGTTGTGTCTCCACTCACCCTGTTGATGTCCTGTTTCAGGGCGGTGGAGATCTCCGTCTCGTTCTCAGTGATCATCCTCTTCAGGCCGTGGAGCTGCTGCAGTCTGAACTCCACGGCTCGGGCCCTCCCGCTCAGGAAGGCCTCCCTGGCCCGCTGCACCGCCTGCCTCTCCATACACACAGCTGCAGCAAAGAGCCTGGGGAACTGCACACAGCAGGCTGTCTGTTGGGAAAATACAGAAACAACAGCGGTGACAGGCCAGTCTCCAGCCATGATCTTCTGTCAACGTGTTCTGATTTAACTTCAGTTTACTGTAAATCCAGCTGGGCCGGACAAAGACATTTTGAGGCCCAGAGTAAACACGTGTTTAAACTACAAGGTTACCTACATTAAATACTACAAAAGGAAAGTGATGAATGAGCACTTAACAGTCTTATTTCATCTCATAGTTAAAGTAAAAAAACAAAACAAGTCTGTACTGTTAAACAGTCAAGATTATGCACTATATATTTGCCACAAAACAACTAGTCAATGGATGTAATGCGCAAAACAATAAAACAAGGGATAGCTGTAAGGAGATACTGGATCTGGTAAAACATAACGTCTGCAGTAAAGGAGCTTTTAAAGGAAAGTAGGCTACAAATCAAAGTACAGCCATACAAAATATGTTGTCTCTAAACAAACAATTTTCGTCTTTAAAAACAAACAAAAAAAGACTTCTGCTTTTATTTGATTTTATGCTAAAATTGAGTTATCTTTATCAAATGCTTAAATCCATACCATTGCACTGTTTTGAAAGTAAAAGCTATCATAAATAGTCTATAGAGGTAAAATTGTTATTTTCATCGGGTGTGTTGACTTCTTAACCGCGGTGAAGTTAGTTTTAGGTTGGATATTCGACGGACATTCGCGGACCCGCCAGCAGCGTCAGTTTCCCGGACCCGCCAGCAGCGTCAGTTTAACGGGGAGATCTTCTCCGCGAAACGAGGCTTTCACTTAGGGACCATCAACAAATGACTTTTACAATTACACAAGAAAAATGTTCTTTTTAATAAATCGACAGCTTCTCCATCGTGTGAATGTGAAGCAAATTCACTCTAGAGCATACATTTATTGAACACACCTCTTTTTATTGCATTTTAATACTTTAAATAAGTTTTATTCATATTTTTGATGGAAACATTTGCATATTTCTTCAATAACTGCTAGGTAGTGTGACATAATGACTCAAAATCAGTGCTGGATCAAATAACTACACTTGTTGCATAGGACACACCTCTTTTTATTCCATTTATAATACTCTAAATATTTTTATATTAATATTTTGATGGAAAAATTAGCTTATTGCTTCAATACCTTCCAGGTCATGTGACCTAATTACTCAAAATCAGTGCTGGGTCAAATAACTACACTGGCTGCATAGGACACACCTCTTGTTATTCAATTTTAATACTTTAAATATTTTATATTAATATTTTGATGGAAAAATTAGCTTATTTAGTGTAGTTCTTTGACCCAGCACTGATTTTGAGTGAGTAGGTCACATGACCTGGAAGGTATTGAAGAAATAAGTTAATTTTTCCATCAAAATATTAATATAAAATATTTAGAGTATTAAAATGGAATAACAAGAGGTGTGTCCTAAGCAGCAAGTGTAGTTCTTTGACCCAGCATTGATTTTGAGTGATTAGGTCACATGACCTGGAAGGTATTGAAGAAATAAGCTAATTTTTCCATCAAAATATTAATATAAAATATTTAAAGTTCTAAAATTGAATAAAAAGAGGTGTGTCCTATGCAGCCAGTGTAGTTCTTTGAGCCAGCATTGATTTTGAGTGATTAGGTCACATGACCTGGAAGGTATTGAAGAAATAAGCTAATTTTTCCATCAAAAATATTAATATAAAATATGTAAAGTATTAAAATGGAATAAAAAGAGGTGTGTCCTATGCAGCCAGTGTAGTTCTTTGACCCAGCACTGATTTTGAGTGATTAGGTCACATGACCTGGAAGGTATTGAAGAAATAAGCTAATTTTTCCATCAAAATATTAATATAAAATATTTAAAGTATTAAAATGCAATAAAAAGAGGTGTGTTCAATAAATGTATGCTCTAGAGTGAATTTGCTTCACATTCACACGATCGAGAAGCTGTCGATTTATTAAAAAGAACATTTTTCTTGTGTAATTGAAAAGTCATTTGTTGAAAGCCTCGTTTCGCGCAGAAAAATTTCCTGGATAAATAAAGGCTACAAACAAACAAACAGAAGATCTCCCCGTCGTAATACAGCCAGCAGCAGGGGGAAATGACGCTGCTGGCTGGTCCGCGAATGTCCGTCGAATATCCAACCTAAAACTAACTTCACCGCGGTGACTTCTTAGCATAACTGCTGCCAATATATTTTCTGTTAACCCACTCGTGATTTAAGTTACACAAATAACATCTTGGATGGTTTAATCTTTACAAAGTAATCATATTTTTATAGTTTTTCCTCAGTATTATGTGTCAAATTCTGAATTGTATAAAGTAAAAAAAATCTGTTAATGAAGTGGAGTAAATAGTAGAACATTGGCTTCCATAGAATGCAGTTGAGTAGAAGTTTAAAGTTGTAAAAATGAAAATACTCGGGTAGAGTACCTCAAATGTAAGTAGGCTACAGTAGTCTATTTGAGTGTACTTATACTTTTCACCACTGTGTACCCTCATAGCCCTGTTTGCTTCAGTCTACAATGTGAGTCTCTACCTGTGTTTACTAGTGAGGTAAATGGATCCAAACGGCTTGTTAAGAAAAGTTGTGATGCTTTTATGAGGATTTTCATGGGATCTGCATCTGATATTGGCAAAACTCTGAAAAACCTCCGTGTTTACAGGCAAATAGTTACAGGAAGCCTTATGAGGTTTCACTCTTATAGTTCAGTCTGAGCAGACATGACATAGTAAATACCGTGCATTAAAAAATAAACTGTGATGTTAATGGTCCTTTTTCTGCTCAACTCTGCGATCTTAACGCGACTGTATCGAATATCATTTATTCGTTCGATTCAGAAAAAGTGAGAAAGAAAAAAATAACACTTACCTACGCGTAGGTCAAATACACATCGAGTGTATTCTTTATGAAATATGAATTGATAATCCGCCAGTGATCTGACCTGAAAGCGGTTCAGATGTCCGGCACTGTGCGGGCTGACTCACTGACTGAGACTCAGTACAGACAGGCTGCTCTGAGATCAGTGTACTGTAACTGCTCCATTCAGACCGCCTCAAGCAGGGAGACCCGAGATAACATCACACACACACACATACACACACACACACACACACACACACACACACACACACACACACACACACACACACACACACACACAACACACACACACACACACACACACACACACACACACACACACACACACACACACACACCGGTGCGGAGTAACTAAGTTCATTCACTAATAAATAAACTAGTAACTGTAGGCTACTTTACTTAAATTGTGAAAATAATTTAAAATAATAGCAAAGAAATATGTAGGATTACAAAATATCGTCAACCAGAAAAACTAATATTGTTATTTTAAAGGGTGAAATTATAAAGCCTACTGAAAGTAGTATTATTTCATATCTAGATATATAAATATATATTTATATATTTGTGGCGTTGCTACTTTCAAGTAAAATATCTTCTTCCACTACACCAAACCATTCATTCAAAGTACCGTTTTGTTTAAAAATGTTTAATTGCACTGTGGCGCACAATACAACTGTCTTCATTAAAAGCATACAAGATATTCACACTGTGATGGATTACCATGTTAAAGGTAGTTAGTTTGTGAATAGATTTTCATTTTGTAGTGAAATGTATGGTGACCGACAGGTGCAAACAGGTTACAAACGGCCCAAAACATTTACATTAGGAGAAACGTGCTGCAGTTACAATCCAAATATAAAAGCACAACAGGGCAAAACACAAGCAAATTAAGAAAACATGTTGGGCCGCTGTAACGCGTTTGAACCTGTTGGCCACCGTAGACATGCATCATTGCTACAGAGTTATATTAGCAGTGGTAGAATGTTTTATAATTTCATAATCTAAAGAAAAACTCTCCAGGTTAAATATAAATATGACACATAAAAGTGCTACAAACTTGATGTAAAACAATAAAAACATTATTAGCAGCTGAAGAGAAGTGAAATGCCATAAAAACATATATTTAAAGGACCAATGTCAGTCTACGTGAATTTGAAATGTGATGGACCAGTAAATCACAAGAGTGCTGTATCAGTCAGGAAGTCCATGTGGCTGTCCCAGGATCCCCTGCAGCAGCGGGGTCAAACTCGGGCCCCGGGGTCTGCTCCTCAGCCCCACTGCAGGAACCTCTGCAAGAAACATGGAAGCAATATTGAGTACAAACAAAGATCCAAACACTTTGAAACACACGGAAAACAGATAGTTTAACTTTTCGCAGGAGCACAACAAGTGTGGATGTCAACAAAAGGTGGTGGTGGGGTGGAGCGAAACAAAAGGGCCCATTTAGCAGGGGAGAGTGAAGCATGCTGGGTAATTAAAGGGAGGCATGATGAGGGGGCATTATGTGGTTAGATTTCCTGGACAACACCACACATTGTCTGCAGGAGACAAAGCCATTGTTGTGTGAGGGTACAGGCCAGTAGGATGTGTGTGTGGGGGGGGGGGACTCATATCTGCGTATCTTGAGAAACTCCATCTGACATTATTTAAAAAGGTTGTAAATAGACACATATTCTCACTGTTTAAATACAATCTCTCTGTAAAATGGTTTCCATTGTTACGTAGCCATTTCAGTAAAACAATAAAGTTTCCTGCTATAAAGGTGAATATGTTCTCTAATCAAGCCAGCACTTATAAATATGAAATACAGTCTTCAGTTTTAACCTTTTAACCAATATTTTATAATATGGTGACAGAACACTCATTCTGATAGTGTATAAGCATTTTATTACACAGCTTAGTTGAATAATCGATTCTGATTGGTCAATTTTGACATTCTAGAGGTTAATTCTTGCTAACAGACTGCTGCTAAGGAGAACAGACCGTTGCTAAGGAGGATCAAGGGACTGTGTGCATTCATATCAATCTGCAGAAAGAAGTCCGGTAAATTGAACGTAAGTTGTGGACAACAAACATTGGTTTGCTCCTTCAGAAACACCTTACTAAAAGTAAGTACCTGCAAACGCCATCGGACCTCCACAGCTAATTCAGAATGCTGCAGCCCAACTGGTCTTTAATCTCCCCAAGTTCTCCTACACTACAACTCTCCTTCGCTCCCTGCACTGGCTGCCAGAATCTGCTTCAAGACACTGGTACTGGCCTACCGAGCTGTGAAGGGACCAGCTCCTTCCTAAATCTAGGCCTTGGTTAAACCATACACTCCAGCACGTGCACTTCGCTCAGCGCAGTGTTGTAGTCAAGTCACCAATTCACGAGTCCAAGTCACTCTCGAGTCCCCACTTTTCGAGTCCAAGTCCGAGTCCAAGTCTGAGTCTGAGTCACCCAAGGAGTGTCCTCGTCGAGTCCGAGTCATCATTACCTGTGTTCGAGTCCAAGTCAAGTCCGAGTCACAAGTCTTCATGTATTAATCTTAGTGGATATATTTGTTGAAATGTAGCTGCTCCTCTACATTGCTTTTATCCTGTCATGTTATACTAATTTGATGTGATTATATTTGTATGCCAATATTTTCTTATGTTAAAGTTTTCGTTTTGCACTTTTATTTTGATAGTAATAAGATCGGGACTCTTATTTTGAAGGAACTTTCACCGGAAGTCAATGGACAACGGAGCAGTGTAAACACCAAACACACATGTATAATGACGGATAGATGACGAATAAATTAACATAATACTAAATAGTTGCATTCGGTTTTTAGCACCTGGCTGATAAGGGCACAAGCTCTTACGTTGGTAATGATTGTATACAAGCAAGGGTGTGCAATAAACAGATACCATCAGTTGGAGAGTCTGACCATCATTCAGCCGGGGACGCTACAATTATTATAGTGAATGTTTAAATTATATCCATAAAGATTAAGCCCCAGAAAGCACATGGCTACTTAGCATGCAAAATGACAACATTCTGCATGTTAAGTAACCATGTGCTTTCGTGTTATCGGCTGCATCTTTATTTATTGATTAGATCACAATACTCTGATGATAGTGTTCAAGACAGCCTATATGTCTGAACTCGATCCTGAGAGTAATGTGTTGTGGAGCCTTCTCTTCAATCTTTTTTCCACATAAAGAGCATTTTGCGCTGCTCTTTCCCAATGTGGAAGCAGAATGTGTGAAAGCATACAGCAGGATGCGGGGTGTGTCTCTGGACATCTCTAGACTGGAATAGCGGGGCCCAGTACGTGAACTCCTCGCAGGTGCACACGCCAGAACAGAGTACATCTGACTCGAGACAAAACTTGCTCAAGTCCAAGTCGGAGCGTTAATGTACAAGTCGAGTCCGTGTCATCGTGGGTGAAAAATTAACGAGTCCGAGTCAGAGCCATCGTGGGCTAAAAATTCACGAGTCCGAGTCAGAGTCATCGTGCGCGAGAATTCACGAGTCCGAGTCGAGTCCGAGTCGAGTCCGAGTCGAGTCCGCGTCAATCAATGCGTGAGTCCGAGTCGAGTCACGAGTCCCGAAAATCGGCACTCGAGTACTCCATCTCTGGCTCAGCGTCAGCCAATCGGCTTGCTACTCTATCACTGTGAGTGGGACTGAGGAACCCCTCTAAAACAAATCTGTTTGCTATCCTTGCTCCTAAATGGTGGAATGAGCTCAGAAACTCTGCATACCTTCCAGCACAAACTGAAAACGTTTCAATTTTACCATGTCAATTAAATTATTGTAAAAAAAAAGTTAGCTTAGGCCTTATAACTAATTCACTAGCACCTACACTGGTAGGACTAGCTTGAAGTGAATATATCTGCAGTTTGCTTGTTAAATCGGAGTTTGAATCTCTATGGTTTTTGCACTTATTTGAAGTCGCTTTGGATAAAAGCGTCAGCCAATGAAATAATTTATATTTGTAGATAGCTTGTTTTATTGATGCAAAACTAAACTTTGCGCCGGGATCCTGAAAACCATGTCGGTGTTCTTTCTTCATTAATGACCACCTCACTGCTCACTATCCCTTACGGCCCGTCCACACAGCGGTGTGCGTTGAAGCTTCAACGCTTCTGCCCATTCACTTTGAATGGGGTGACGTCACGCTTCGCCGAACTGCATTGTGGGAGCGAAGCGTAGATTTGCTCGCGTTGCTCACGACGAAAGTTGAGCAATGTTCAACTTTTGAAGCTTCGGCTGAAGCGTCAGCCAATCGAATCATATGCCAGTACAAGCTCTAGCCAATCAAACCGCGTGCTTGTGTGTCCAGGGCGGGAGATTCATGTGATTGGTTGTTGGTCGAGTTTCAGCCCCCCCCCCCCCGCCGGCAAGCTTCAACGCACGCTGCTGTGTGGACAGGCCGTTGTATGTTTCATGCTGCTAAAGTACCCCTAAATCCAACACATTAAACATTTAATAGTTGCTAATACATGTAAAACACAATTTGATTGTTCCTGAATAAATCACACAAAAAAACAGAATAGGTAGCATGGACATGGACAAACACATTACATTACATGTTACTTGTTAGACGCTTTTATCCAAAGCGACTTACATACTCAATACTGTGGCCAATCCCCACAGGAGCAATTTGGGGTGAAGTGTCTTGCCCAGGGACACAACGACATGCTGACTGCAGTGGGGTGGGGTATGAACCTGTGCTCCCCTGATCCGAACACCAGCGAACTAGTCCACTGCGCCACACGCCTCCCCTATTACCTAAATAGGTCGTGAAGGATACATTTACACCTCCAGTTATTAAGTTACTGGACTGGAAATAATATAGACTACCTGTACAAATGTTTACTTATTTTTTAAAAGAAATACATTTTTGAACAAAAACAACAAACTCTTGTCTCTCTTTTGCTTTTTCTCAGTCAGTTGACTATGAGTGTTCACCTTTTCAAGGTTAACCAATCAGATGTTTCCACTGATACCCAGGGGGGCAAAACCCAATTTTTTGGGAAATCAGACATGGAATGTTGTAAAAGGTTGTCCACCAGAAATGATATCTAGGACCTTCAAGGATCACAACCTGGGTGGACAACCCGGTCAACTAGCTACTGGAAAGCTACAGTGAGGGTCCAAACAATGCAACCCGTATATGAAAAAAAGTCAACAATTCTGGCTGGATCAGATGCCATCATTCTCTTTCTGATTGAATATCTCTGTGACAGTTCATAGTAAAGACAAACTGAGCAAACCTATTGAAAGAGCAGAAAATAAGCTTTCAGGTGATGCCTTGGTTAATCCTGTTCTCAATAATGAGAACTAGATGAAACTGTGCCTTGTTTGTCTCTCCAAAGCGAAATTCATTTCAAGCAATGCACTTGTGGTCCTCTGGATTGTTTGCTGTGTTCAAAATGGGTAATAATTATAATAATAATAGTAATAATAATATATTTGATTTATATAGCGCTTTTCCTGGTGCTCAAAGCACTTAACAAACAAGTAAAGAAGAAAAATAACAACAAAAGTAAAAGTGCTAAACTAGGTGGAATAAGGGCGAGGGGTTAGTGGATTAGGAGTTGAAGGCAAGAGTGAAAAGGTGAGTTTTGAGGGATTGTTTGAATGATGTGAGTGTTGGCAGATTGGAGTAAATATACTTAGAAGATTATTTCTATATAACATATTGAAGGGTTTACATTAATATACAGAAGGTTTACTGCCGATGCTAATTTGAATTTATTCAATGTTTACAGATTTTCCAGCAAGTGAGAGGATTTTAAGCTATCTAGCTAGCTAGCTAGCCAGCACTGTTACTGTAAAATAGAATTATTTAATAATTTGTAAATCAGTTTTACAGTGTTAACATTTAACAACCTATTAATGATGCATACCCACTTAACGGGAAGAAACTCAGCTAACAGACGATAAGACAAATGTTTACAAAAAACGGAACACAATTCCAACACCCAGCGTCTAAATCGTCTAAAACGAAAACATGCTAACGCTACATTAGCTGCAATTTTTTTAGTTCATGCTATCTGCACAAACGACATGTCATATGAAAGCTGAGATTCCACATATTCCAATGGTATAAATCTCATCACTGTACGACCAGAAAAACACTCACTGAGCTAGCAGCCAGGAAAGAGCAACTTCACTTTACGGAGCCATAACTATATATGTCTTACCTTTGATGTTTCAAAAGTTGTGTTCAAGGGCATAACAACGCTGCTAAAGGTTAATCCAATGTCTCTGTGTGACTTTGAAATTAGGTGTATCATTGCTTTGATAACAA